AAGAAATATTATATGAAGTTATCACCATACAGTATATTAAACTCTCCAAATGGTAGACATTCACTTGCTTGCAAAGGAGTCAAATACATCTTTGTTATTACACCCATATGCACTGATACTTTGATTTCTGTTTTAAAAATTTTTTTAGTGTTTATTTATTTTTGAGAGAGAGAGAGAGAGAGACTGAGTGTAAGCCGGGGAGGGACAGACAGAGAAGGAGACAGAGAATCCGAAGCAGACTCCAGGCTCCGAGCTGTCAGCACAGAGCCCAATGCGGGCTCGAACCCACAAGCTGAGATCATGACCTGAGCCAAAGTCAGACGCTCAACTGACTGAGCCACTCAGGTGCCCCCTGATACTTTTATTTCGATGGGCTAGAATGTAATGAGTGGGATAACTGCATGAAAAGATATACGGATTACGAATTTTAGTATATACTGTCAGAATGTTCTCCTCCAAAGCTATGACTATGCTTCCATCAGTAATGCAGGAGAGTTTTCTTCCTCACTTGTTACCACTCACTCCAACGTTGGCCAGTCTGAGGGGGAGAGGTGATGGCCTTGTGTTCAGTTCATTTACATTATGAGTGAACTTCACTCTTAGTGAAGCTGGGCATTTGTTTTATATTAGCTATTCGTACTTTCGGCCTCCTGCTGTATTTTTTAGCACAGCATCACAAATACTTTGCAAGATCTCAAAGATCAATATAGCAACACCTTGGAAAATTAAAGTGCTCTCTGCCTGAAAGCCTTTTGGGGAAAACGTATACACACATAACACAGAATAGCGGTTTACTCCCCAAATGCAGAAAACCATTCTCTGAATTTATTTTAGGCTGGTGAACAAAGATAAAAATCATCATTTTCCTAGAGTAAAAACTAATGAAGCTATTTATCTCCATATTTCATTATTTGGTTTTAATTACAGTTTTCAGAACCGTTTTCTTGGGATAAAATTTACATACTATAAAATAAATAAATAAATAAATAAATAAAATTTACATACTATAAAATCCATTTTATGGTATGTGATTCAGTGGTTTCCAGCATATTTGCATTTGCTCCAGCATCGCTACCCTCTGATACTGGAAGATTTCCAAGAGTCCAAAAAGAAACCCCATACTCATTAGCGGTCAGCCCCCATTCCCTGCCCCACCAAGCCCTTGGCAACCACTAATCCATCTTCTGTCTGTCCAGAGATGCCTATTAACTGTAGGCATTTCATATAAGGGGAATCATATACTATGTTGCCTTTTTTGTCTAGCTTCTTTCGCATAATGATTTCAAGGTTCATCCATGTTGTAGCATGTATGAATACTTCATTCGTTTTTATTGCCAACTAATATTCCATTGTATGGGTATATCACACTTTATCAAGTCATTGGTTAATGGACGTTTGGGTCAGTTCGATCTGGGTTTGAATCCAGATTTGACAGTTATTTCTCTTGTGACCATGGGTAAGTTAAGAGAAATGAAGCAGGAATAGGTGTCAGAGAAGGACACGGAAGGACAAATGAAGGCATCGCAACACCTTCTCATTTTTTGAGAAATTTTTTGAGAATTTTTTTTGAGTGTGGGTAGATGTAGTGGGTACATCTGTTCAAAGCACATCCACTTGATGATTAATCACTTGCCCAATCTTCCCACGTGATGGGTCATATAATACACAGTTTGTGAGGGACAGTTCAGGTTATGTGGTGGATTTGATGTCCCGTGGTTAGGAGTTCAGTCTCCACAAGAACCCAAAATCACTCCAGGACTGTTTCTCAAAAGAAGAAAAGAGTATGTTAAGGGGAACCTAGACTTGCTCCCACACCCCAAAGTTCTGCACTGTGATCCTCCTGTCGGGGCTTGCCGGAGACTCCCAAGGGGCAGCTCTGTCCACACTTAGACTCTTTGAACCTACAGCTGGGGGTCTGCAAGCGGAGAAGCAGCTTGCCCTGAAGCCTGAACTGGCTGCAGAACTTTCTCCAGTCTCCACTCAAACATGGTGTGTTTAGAGGTGACTTGGTAAATGGTGGTAGGAACTGGGAGAGGACACTGACCACTTTACGCTGGTTCTACCAAAGGGATGTTCTGGGTGTGCAGGAAGAGGCTGGAGAGTGACATAAATTGTTGCTGCTGCTGCAGTGACAGGTCATTAATGGGATGACATCCACAGAAACAAGGAAATGGAAAACATGTCTCTTCCTCTCGTTCTTGCCTTCCAGTCACGTGCCCTTAATGGCCAAATATAACAAGAAACCTGCTGGAAAAGAGAAAGATTATTTACAGCCTCACAGCCTCAGCATCACAAAGCAGCACATAGAAGAGTGTGTTTGGAGATGACATACCCTAGCTTTGCGGCCAGCACAGTAATGACACAGTATGAAATTGATCATCAACTTTGTCCACCGCACGACACGTATAAACGACTTGAGTTGGCTTATGTGCCTTTTAAAGGTATTAGGTGTCTATGGAGAAAAATTGAGAAACATAAAAATCACCCATCATCATACCATTTTAAAAAATAGGGGACTCCTTGGGGCGCCTGGGTGGCTCAGTCGGTTGAGCGGCCGACTTCGGCTCAGGTCACGATCTCGCGGTCCGTGAGTTCGAGCCCCACGTCGGGCTCTGTGCTGACAGCTCGGAGCCTGGAGCCTGTTTCGGATTCTGTGTCTCCCTCTCTCTCTCTGACCCTCCCCCATTCATGCTCTGTCTCTCTCTGTCTCAAAAATAAATAAACGTTAAAAAAAAATTAAAAAAAAATAGGGTACTCCCCTTATTACACATGTACACACATCTTTATATTTGCAAAACAATAGGATCATGTACCACATGCAGATTTTGAAACCAACTTTTACCTTAATAATCCAATACACTGTTGCCATCTTTCTTGTTAAAACAGCCACAACATTGGGGCGCTTGGGTGTCTCCGTCGGTTAAGCATCTGACTTGATTTCAGCTCAGGTCATGATCTCCCGGTTTGTGGGTTGGAGCCCTGCATCAGGCTCCGTGCTGACAAGTGCGGAACCTGCTTGGGATTCTCCTTCTCTCCCCCTCTCTCTGCCCCTCTCCTGCTCACACTGTCTCTCTGTCTCTCAAAATAAATAGGCAAACTTTAAATAAATAAATAATCCACAACATGAATGTCATTATCCACATAGGATATTGAGTATATCTCTCTATTGCATATGCTATTATAAATCATTTGCTCATGTCTGGATGTATACATAATTTGTTTTAATAAGTTATATTTTGATGTTTATGTATTTTTTGAGAGAGAGAGAGAGAGGCGGGGAGGGGGAGGTGGGGACGGACAGAAAGAGAGACACAGAATCAGAAGCAAGCTCCAGGCTCTGAGCTGTCAGCACAGAGCCCCATGTGAGGCTCAAACTCACCAACTGTAAGATCATGACCTGAGCCGAAGTCAGATGCTTAACTGACTGAGCCACCCAGGCACCCCAGGTTATATTTTGATAAATATCTTTTTTTTTTAATTTTTTTTTCAACGTTTATTTATTTTTGCGACAGAGAGAGACAGAGCATGAACGGGGGAGGGGCAGAGAGAGAGGGAGACACAGAATCGGAAACAGGCTCCAGGCTCTGAGCCATCAGCCCAGAGCCTGACGCGGGGCTCGAACTCACGGACCGCGAGATCGTTACCTGGCTGAAGTCGGACGCTTAACCGACTGCGCCACCCAGGTGCCCCGATAAATATCTTTAAATTCTTTACAAACATTTATTGACTTGTTAAATTTTGGAGAAATGTTCACTCACTCTTCTTACATTTTGTTTGAATCTTAACAATATTTACTCTGGATACAAATCCCTTTGAAAGTCATGTGTCTCAGGGTGCCTGGCTGGCTCAGTTGGTGGCATGAGCCACTCTTTGTCTCAAGGTTGTGAGTTCGAGCCCCATATTGGGTGTACAGATTACTTAAAAATAAAATGTATTAAAAAAAAAGAAAGTCATATTTGTCGCATGTAGTAAAGCAATTTCTTTAATGGCAGTTCAAATGCAAACTCCCTTCCTTCCTTCCTTCCATCCATCCTTCCTTCTTTCGTTCCTCCCTTCCTTCCTTCCTCTCTCCCTCCCTCCCTTCCTTCCTTCCTCTCTCCCTCTTTCTTTTTTACCAATCATGATACGATGTTAGGCTGAGGCATTACTTGGATTACCGCACATTCCTTTCTAGAGAAGAAATTAAGACCACAAACGCATAGAGAAATTTTTTTGAGTGTGGGTAGTGAGAACAGCTGGGGTGGAGACTGAGGGAAATGGCAAGACATCTCACATGGATATAAATGGAATGGCTTAGCACAAAAGCTTAGAATTTCTTGTGCTAGGAGAATAAATTAGAACTGAACACTTTTCTCCTTGCAAATATTAAATGCTAACTCTTAAAACCATCTGTGCTCTTTCTGAAAGTTTAAAATTTGAATTTAGGTAAGTCAAAATGAAAAGGTCTAGGTGGGGGCTGTTGTGTTGCCAAGCAACATCACTTATCTTAGATCTCATAATCAAGTGCCATAAAAAATTTGGCCATGATAAAGTGTGTCCCCAAAGTAAGTGAATCAGCGTCAGCTATTTCCGGAGGAGTTTGTAGGAAGCCCCCAAAAGAAGTCCCCAGTGAGGATGAAATTGTTTTCAGGCGGTTTTGTCTTTCTCTTGCAATGCAAACCTTTATGCCTCCATTCACTGGTCCCCAAATCAGATACAATCAAGGATCTAACATGTACTCTCTTGCATCCTGTGAAGGTTTTCACAATGAAAGCAGATCACCTCTGTACGCAGAGGCTAGGAAACCATTCTCGTATTCAGAGGACAGAAGCGCATGACTACAGCTGACTAACTGGGAAGTGGGAGTCCCGTCTGGATCTCCATATCAGACTGAAGGACAAGCAGAACATGGAAAAGCGTGACCCTGCTCTAGTTCCTGGAAGTGCTCCATTTAAATTCAAATGATCTCTTTTGCTGCCCCACCATTGGTTCCACCTGTAATTTTTTTTTTCTTTTTTTTTTTTTTTTTTTTTTTTTTTTTTGGCTGTTTGTTTGTCTCCCCTCTCCCTCAAACTGCTTTGAAATGGAGTTTGTTGAAGATAAGGATTTGTCATTTTCCATAGCGTGAGTTTGGTCAAGTGAAACTTCCGAGAATTTTCAGGAAATGATTCAAAATTGTTAGTTGGGGTTCTTCCTCACCTATGAAGAGCTATGCTTATTTAAGGACCAAAGAAAAGTAAGCCTTGATTTCCTGTGAGATTAAGAAGAAGGATTGGTGAAGATAAACGACCTAGAAGAAAGTTCTCTTCGCTGACATAAAACTCTGGCAAGAATGAGAAGCCCAGCATGGGTAATGATACTTACATATATGCATTGATTTATAATATTTTTTTCTGAGATGCATGTACATTTTCTAGCTGTCCTTGCGTGAAGATGACAGAACCTATAATTGCTGGCCTGGAAATCTGTGATTGGATTTAAACCCAGCTAGAGAAGCTCTGTCACTCACCAAAAATATTTAGCTAAGTTCGGTAAAGTGGACAATACATGGGGGTTTTAGTCTTTGAGAAGGTGGGTCCCTCTGATGCTAATGATCTTTCTTTTGTTACAATATCTATAACTGTTAACGTGAATAAGTTATGTTATTTGGGATAGTTATAATAAGCAGGGGTATGTACATTGCTTATATAGATGAGGTGAGTTTTTATGACCTGTTACTCTTAGTTTTCATTGGTAGGTCACATTATAGATGACGCCACACTCTGGTGATTCTTTAGTGTACCATTGGAGATATGAGTTGATACATATTTTTAAAATTTTATAGAAATGTTTCAATAAAGGCACTATAAATTTATCATTAATGTTCCTGAGGTGCTGAGCTGATCACTGCTATTTAAGGCTAAACTAACTACTAACCTTGAGATTATAAAAGTTACGGTTGTCAGTCCATACAGGAGATGTATTTACTATTTTCAGTTGCTAATCCTCTCAAATAAATCATTATTCCCTTTATTATTTTTGTAGCAGAAGTTTGTAACACTTTAAAGATTTAAATGTAGTTGCAGCTGATTCTTTGTGGAAACACAAAGAACACGTAAGAAGAGGGAAAAATCCTTCTGCATGCTTAGCATTCAATGGTTAATTTCCTTCCAGTTTTTAACTCTCTCTAACCCTTTTTATCCTTACAAAATGTCCTTTTCCCCCCTGTAGTGGCAGTTTTTGATATCTCCTTTCTTTTATATTCTGTGATTACTGTATATTTCTATGCCAGAAATGTATATAAGATACTGTGCAAATTTATTTCTTTGGATAAAAAAACTAGTCTTTTTTTTTTTTAATTTAAAGAAGCAGTAATTCGTGTCCTCATGTTATACCAATGCCTCATTAGTAGGTCCGCTTGATAATTCAGAAAGTCTTAAACAATGAAATATGTATTCCGGTGGCTGTGATGTATTTTATCTTGTTGTGAATGGATTCATCTAAAAACCGGGATCTAAAGATAGCTCTTAAGGCTCCATGCACATACTCAGTTCAACAGTGGTTTATAATCGGAGTTGCTATTGTTAACACTTATTTATTTTCCTTTGGAAAATATTACTTTTGTTTCGTGATAAGTTGTAGTCAAGAATATGAGGAAGATTCCAAGTTTCGTCTTGAAATTTGCACTTAATCACATCTTGTTTTCTTTTCTTTTGAGATATGGACTCAATACTCTGTAGAAAATAAAATAAATTATATTTTTCTAGAGAAGGCTATGTCTGAAGAGGCATCATCACCTGTTTTTTGATAAAATAGTCATTCCTGGTTTGGAAAGTTTGTTTTGGCAACTATGCCTTTAAGTATCGGAATGCTTCTATAAATCCATGGGTATTTTTTTTTTTATTTTTTTTCAACGTTTATTTATTTTTGGGACAGAGAGAGACAGAGCATGAACGGGGGAGGGGCAGAGAGAGAGGGAGACACAGAATCGGAAACAGGCTCCAGGCTCCGAGCCATCAGCCCAGAGCCTGACGCGGGGCTCGAACTCACGGACCGCGAGATCGTGACCTGGCTGAAGTCGGACGCTTAACCGACTGCGCCACCCAGGCGCCTCTAGGGTATTTTTTTACTAATATGCAATATGTATTGCATCTTGAGGAGACCATTTAAAGAACATTATTGAAGAAGTATAAAACATGGCTGTGATTCTCAAAAAATTTACCTTAATTAATGATCATTGTGTTCCCAAGAGAAATTATAGACTCTGAGAATCAAGTATTTCTTAAATGTACTTCTTAATTCACCCAGTATGATTCACTAAAACCTAAATTGTGTTCTCACGTGGCTTATCCAAGAGTATAAACCTGGAACTTGGATAGATAAGTATATGAATAAATCATGCCTTAAATTATATTATCCTGTAATGAAATATATATCTTCTGAGATTCTTTAATCACCCATAAGCATTTACTGAGTAATAGAACATAATACCTGTAAGCACTGACTGTGAACCAGACTGACTGTGTTCAAATTCTGGCTTTGCCATTTACAAACCCAGTGGCTTTAGGAAAGTCACTAAGTTTCTTTGTGCTTCAATGTCCCATGTATAAAATGCAAATAACAGCATCAGCTACTATCGTAAGAATGAAAAGAAGTAATATATTTACAGCACTAAGAACAGTGCTTGGCACATAGAAAGTGCTGTGTAAATAGAAGCTACTTTTTTTGTCAGTATTAATTTAGCATCCTTCTATGATCTATGGGTATGCTTGCTTTCAAAACTTAAAATGCAATAAAAGGATAAGAATTATACATAGGACACAATAGTGACAAAATAAAATATTATGAGTACAATCCTTCCCCTTTTAGGATGGCATTATTTTATACATAGTTCCCATCTGAAATACAGTTATAGTCTTTGTAACTTCTTACTTAACCTTCAGCAAGTCTTTACGAACTCTGTGACTTTGGGAAAGTTACATACCCACTCTGTGCCTCAGTTTTCTCATCTGTAAAGTGGGAGAGTATCAATGGTACCTATCAGAGGATTATTGTAAGGAATAAATGAGTTAAACATGCAAGTCTTAGAACAGTGCCTGGCATTATAGTAAATGTTCCACAAATATTAGCTCTCATCATCAGCATCACCATTTATATTTCACATTTTACATAAGGTTATAGTCCTTACTCGTTCAATCCAGCGGTAACAAACTTACCAAATGCTTAAAATGAGTGAGACATTACTAGAAAGAGTACAAGTTAAAATAAAAAAAAAAAAACATACAGTTTCAAATAACACTCAGGCATAAAATTTTTTTAACTACCAGTATTAAGGTAATAAACCAGTGAGTTAACTTCAAGTACTGATTATGATATGAAGAAACTTAAAGAGGAGTGGAAAACAGAGTGGTGGCGTGGAAGGTCTCAGCCAAGTTAGACAAATCCCTTCTGGGAAGATGACGTTTGAATTGAGACCTGAAGACTAGAAAATATAAGAAAATGAGAAAATATAAGAAAATATCTAAAGAACTTTCAAAACTGAGCAAAGAATACAGATCATATATAGATAGGTCTACAGGCTACGTAATATAAAAGGATAGAACTCAGACTAAATATATCAATTATAATAACATATAAATAGGCTTCTTTTACCAATTAAAGATAAAATTTTGAAAATCATTGTTATTCTTGTTTCACAAAACAAACTTTAAAATTTTCCTTACTTTTCTAAGGTCTGACACAGTTTAATACCATTGGAATTAGCTTTTCTTTAAGGTCAATGAAATTTTCATCTAAGCACTGTCTTAACTGCATCTCATAGATGCTGGTATAGAATGTCTTGGTTATCATTTTTAATTTAATTCTTATTTTCATTTGATTATCATTGTTTTTTAGCTAAGTTGCAAATTTGTTTGTATTTCCCCTTGAACTCAATTTAATGGAAGTTCCTATTCCCATGTTGTGTTAAGACAGAGATACATGCAAGAAACAGGGTGATACAAGTGAGTCTGAGAGGGAATCTGTGGCTGTCTGTCCAATGGACCAAGTGTTGCTATGTGACTTCCAAAGCCTGGTCATAAAGTTTCCACTGGGCTCTCTCTCTCTCAGGGTGCTTGCCTTTGGAACCCAGCCACCATGTTATGAAGAAGGGAAAGGCCACACGTAAGGGTTCCAGTGAAGAGTCCCAGCTAAAATCTCACTCACAGGCATCATCAACCTCCAGACATGTGCATGAACAAGGCTTCCAATGATTCCAACCCTCAGCCTTGAGCGTTCCAGACATCATGGAGCAGAGATAGGCTGTGACCATTCAGTCCTGACCAACTTCCTGACAAACAGAAACCAAAGGAGATAATAAGTTATTCTTGTTTTAAACCACTGAGTTTTGGAGTAATTTGCTATGCAATTATAACCTACACATAAATGGTGATCTGGGTCAAAATGGTGTCCAAGGAATAATTGGTAGAGGAGAAAAATGCCAGTGGGTGGATGAGTAAATGGGTATTTAAACAGGAGAGGCAATGAGTTTAGGTAACTGTTGAAAATATTTTTTTTGTTAGGGAGACAAGATATCTCTACATCTTGTTTCCCAAATGGAGAATAACTAATAAAAATATGGCTCTTAAAAATATGGCTCTTGGAAGGCATTTCTTTGTAATAAGAGAGACTTGATCATATTGTGTGTTGAAATAAAACAGCTTATAGACAGGAGGAAACATTGAAGTGTGTGTGTGTGTGTGTGAGAGAGAGAGAGAGAGAGAGAGAGAGAGAGAGACAGAGACAGAGAGAGAGACAGCGAGAGAGAGAGGGAGAATTTATGAAAAAGGTCCCTTGAGGAGGTGGGGAGATGAAGAATTTGTAACACACTAGAAGCATTTACCGTGGACAGAAGGGACTCCTCACCAAGAGAGGGCGTATATCTCTGGTTGCAGACCTGTTTATTGTAGGTGAGTTGAGTAATCATCCCTGGTGATTTTAGTGTATGAAATTCAGGGTCAGCATATTTGCTAAAAAAAAGAAAATATTAGAACTCAAGAAAAGTGGTGAATATAGGGGGGGATGGGATAGGGACCTTGTTAAGGACAGATAAAGAATTAAAAGTAGTGTGAATGCTAGAGATGCCATATATTCCTGAGGTCTCATTTTAAATCCTTTTATTTCTGAGTAGTTTTCTCTCAGGACCCATGTAGTTTTTTAGTTTTTTAATTTTTTTTTTTTTTTGAGACAGAAAGCAAAGGCTGGGGAGGGGCAGGGAGAGAGGAAGACAGAAACCGAAGTGAGTTCCGCGCTGACAGCAGAGAGCTCGATGTGGGGCTCAAACTCACGAGCCATGAGATCATGACTTGAGTTGAAGCCAGACCCAGGTGCCCCAGGAACCATATTTCCAATGTTCTCTCTTCCAGATAATCATGCACATGCTAATATTTACACACTTGTAGGTTACTTTATGCAATTAAATGATAAATAATAATAACGTTAATATGCATTCACTATATGTGTGTGGTACTTGAAATTCACAAAGTATTTTTTCACATTCAACACCACCTCCTCCAGCCAAGAAGCGAAGTCTAATGGCCTCAGTATTGTCCTGGTGACCAGTCACTTACTTTGCATAGCCTCAAATAGGATCAAGTCTCCTCTCAAAAATACGTACTGAACAGAGACTTCCAGAACTCATGCTTTACTGATTCCAGGGGGATTTGGGCAAATGAAGTGCTTTTCCCTCCTACCTCCCAATGCATGTTTATGTAACTTTTTACAAATATATTTATTTATATTTGGGAGAACGTGAACAAGGGAGGGGCAAAGACAGGGGGACAGAGGAGCTGAAGCAGTCTCTGAGCTCACAGGCTGACAGCAGTGAACCAGATGCGGGGCTTGAACTCACAAACCCTGAGGTCATGACCCAAGCCAAAGTCCGATGCTCAACTGACTGAGCACCCAGGTGCCCCAAGTTTATGTACCTCTTGTGTCAATGGACTATTTAATAGTAATATGATTCTGCCTCCAGAATGCAGACCCTTCCTTACTACAGTCCTCAGGCTCTGCCTTACACGTGACCTCTCATAAATCCTTTGGACATGCCATACCTGTGGGCAGCGGCTACAGCCATTAATCGGTGCTAGCAGATTGGCACTTTTCCAAAATTCAGTTGTTTGCTTTCTCAGTCGATAACGTACAGATGATCTTGGCAAAATTACTCAAGAGATTTTTTTTGTATATAGAGTGAGAGTGTGGAGAGGGCAGAGGAAGAATGAGAGAGAGAGAGAGAGAGAGAGAGAGAGAGAGAATCTTAAGCAGGCTCCACACTCAGCACAGAGCCAATGCGGGGCTTGATCCCATGATCCTGGGACCATGATCTGAGCTGAAACCAAGAGTCTGACCCTCAACTGACTGAGTCACACAGGCGCTCCACGAGATTTTTTTTTTTTTAAATTATATACTGGGGGAGATTATTGAGGGCTGTTGTATTTATCTTATCTGTGTGATATTAGTGAGCACAAGCCAAAGAATGCCATGCGGTTTTCAAGAAGTGGGGAATTTTATCTATCTAACTTCATAACTTAATGTGACTTTTTAACTAGGACAAAATGAAAAACGATAAACAAAAGTATTCAGCCTTGACATTCTATTACATGTTGGCCAAGGTTAGCCTGCCTGGATCCAGACCACCAGACACAGAACTAAGCACAGAGAAGCTTTGTGTGTTTGGGCATCCTTCATGGGCACCCACTCTCCCCTGAGAGGACCCATTCTGAGGAAAAGAACAGCAACCCTGAAAATCAGGAGCTGCCACTACGCTAAGACCTTCATGCTACGGGGATCAGGCCTGCCACTCACAGGTAGGCCATGGTATTCTACTGAACATAAACAAGTTCAGAGAATAACAAAACAAAACAAGGCTATTCTGTAACCTTCCCGGATCAAAGCAAAAACAAGGACCTTTTGTAATCATGTCTTGAGTACATAAAAAGAGAAACATTTGTCCAAATGATTAAAAAGACCCAAGATACCTGATCTGGCTAATATCACTGCCACTGTCTTTTCACCAATCTCAGCATTAGCCGTGCCGCATTCTTCCCTACCTCCTAGAAAATAAGTAAGAAGCCCGCCGATCAAAGAATTATTCTCACTTCTTGCTAGCAGCAACCAATCCAGGGCAAAAGCCCTGCTTCCTTGAACTCTACCTGCAAATTACCAAACATTTCCCCCAATCTTCTACATCCTTTTTTACCACCCTTCTACTGAGATGTTCCTATGGCTTTTCATTGTGCACGTTCTCTCGCATTGCAACACATGAATAAAAGCAACCGTGTTCTACTACAAATGTGTTCCAGGGGGCGCCTGGGTGGCGCAGTCGGTTAAGCGTCCGACTTTGGCTCAGGTCACGATCCCACGGTCCGTGAGTTCAAGCCCCGCGTCAGGCTCTGGGCTGATGGCTCAGAGCCTGGAGCCTGTTTCTGATTCTGTGTCTCCCTCTCTCTCTGCCCCTCCCCCGTTCATGCTCTGTCTCTCTCTGTCCCAAATATAAATAAACGTTGAAAAAAAAATTAAAAAAAAAAAAAACAAAAAACAAATGTGTTCCAGGAGGCTGGAGAGATTCGACCAATCTGTGGCATGAGTGTCTGGGAGCCAAAGGTAGAACACTCACCAGAGAAGACAGACGTGTGCGAAGGACATGGAGGTATATTCACAGCAATAGAAAGTCCTCCAACGATGCAGGAAAAGGGAGATTGATATGGAAAGAGGGAGAGAGAAACATCACTAGAAACACTTTATGAAGAGAAGGCTAGAGAATAGAGGCACAGGTTACAATAGGACGTTGGAGGCTGCTAGTGGTGGAGTGGGGACAATTCACCCATGATTCATTCATGTGTTCAGTCAGTCAACAAGAATTTAGATGGTGCCAACTATGTAGTAGGCTTTAGGGCCAGGGGATGCGATAATAAACAAAAGAAAGACACTATTCCTGGGGTGCCTGGGTGGCTCAGTTGGTTAAGCATCAGACTCTTGATCACGGCTCAGGTCGTGATGTCACAGTTCGTGAGTTCAAGCCTCACATCTGGCTCTGTGCTACCAATCCCTGCTTGAGATTCTGTCTCTCCCTTTCTCCCTGCCCCTCCCCTGCTCACACGTTCACACGTTCTCTTTCTCTCTCTTAAATAAACATTTTTAAAAAATAATAAAATAAAAGCATGAAGGAAGTGAATTGGAGTGGCATTGGTGGTGGCAGAGAGGTAAATAAGGTTGTGATATGCAGAATATTCTAGGGCAGGGGTTGGCAAACGACAGCCTATGAGTCAAACTCAGCCCATCACTTGGATTTATATGTAAACTCTTATTGGACTACAGCCACCTATCTGTTTGCATATTGTCCATAGTTGTTTGATCATTACCATAACTGTTGAAAAGTTATAACAAAGAAATTATAGCCCAGAAAACTTAAAACATTATTATCTAGCCCCTTAGAGGGAAAAGTTTGCTCACTCCTACTGCTTTCTATGCCAGGAGTTTTGTCTATTAAAAGAGAAATAAAATGCCATCGATGGCATGGAAAAGATGCTGCTGGCCATAACATGGTGAGCTCATTGAACAGAGACCAGAGAACATATGGGCAGACCAATTATGAGGCAATGGCAGTAATTCAGGTGAAGGATGAGGGTGTTTTAGAATAAGGTGGAGGGGACAGAGATGGAGAGAAATGTAATGCATTGGATATGTGAAACAAAGAAGAAAGAGGTTAGGGAAGACTTCTGGTTTCTGACTTGTACAACTAGAAATAAGCTAATGTCATTTGCTATGACAGAGGATACCCAAAAAGGACTTACTATTTTCCTAATTTATTTTCACCCAAGGGAGAAAATTATGAGTTAGCTTTGAGTGTGCCAAATTTTTTAGGTTATTTTGAGATGCCCCAAGAGAAAATACATATTAGACACTTGGATATGTAGTTCTCGAGCTTACCAAGTACACCACATCTCTTCCTATGAGTCATAAACAACTTAGAGATAACCCAAGGAGATAAATGAGGATCAAAGTCCAGAATCAGGATTATTCTGATAATACTGGATTTGGGTACATTGTGGGTCTTCCTTTCGTTAGGATTTGACCCCCCCAATCTAAGGTGGAGAAAGTAGAGAATGGCAGACAAGTGGGCACTGAAGAGCAGCAGAATGAAAGCATGTTCCACTTGAGAATAGAACGATCCAAGAGAAAAAGAACAATAGACGAGGTGCAAGGCCATTCATGGACAAGAACTTCAACACGAAACAACTCAGCCAATGGAGAAACCTGGCACTGAAGAAGGCCAGATTCTCACTGAACTCACCAATCAGATAAGCCATTCCTTCAGCCAAGGGAGAAATGGCCAGGGAGAGAAAGGGATTAGAAATGTTTATTTTAGGAGCGCCTGGGTGGCTCAGTCGGTTAAGTGTCCAACTCTTGATTTCAGCTCAGGTGATGATCTCATAGTTCTTGGGCTCATACCAGGCTCCCCACTGACAGCACAGAGCTTGCATGGGATTCTCTCTCTCCCCCTCTCTCTCTCTCTGCCCCTCTACTGTTTTCTTGCATTCTCTCTCTCTCTTCCAAAAAAAAAAAAAAAATTTAAAAAGTGCATTCTTTAAAAGC